CTGAAATCAATGGTTAAGCTTTTACATTTTTAAAAGTTTTAAATAATTGTTAAAAGTGCTTAATAAGTAAATATATCTTCATATTTATGTATTGAAAGATAAATACTGAGTAGATGATTAAGACAGTTTGGTAATTTTTTACAACAGGGTTATTCTAGTTAACTCAAATAAAAAATATATTAAATTTTTTTTTTACTTGAAATAAAATAAATGTTAACTGAAATAAAATACTTGGCCTATACTGTTTTATTTTAGGTAGTTTACAAGGCAACATTTCCCATTTTCATTTTGTTTATCTTGATGTTCTAAAATAACTTAACACTAAAACTGAAATAAAATGTAATAACAGTACAGAAAATCAACAAAACTAATAAAAACAACAAAAACAAACAATAAAATTACTAAAACTTTCAAATGAAAATGACAGCAGAAAATATACAAATAATTTTAAAACATAATTCAATATATTAACAAAAAATATAATAATAGCACATGAATGATACTAAAATAACATTGCTTTACGATAAAGGATCAGTGTAAGATGTATAGATGGGGGATGGGGTGGGGGCCTCTTTTGAAAATCTGCTTAGGGCCCCCTAAAATGCTAGGGCCGGCCCTGTGTGTGCGTGTGTGTGTGTCGTAAGGGCAAATTAATCAAAAGTGAAACTATTTGGTAGACTTTGCTAGATTTAGGCCTGCACAGTTAGGTCATGCAGCAAGAAAATGATCCGATACATACAAATAAGTCTACCACAGAATTGCTAAAAACATAAAAAATTGAAGTTTTTAATTTACATGATCAAAGTCCAAACTTACTGTAGTCCCAATGAAATGCTGTGGCAGGACCAGAAATGGGCAAAGACATTTCCACAGCACTGTACAATTATATTTTTTTCTTCTGATTGCTTTTGACTTTTTCAACTGCCAACATTTTATCCATGAATAATATCAGCAAAAATTTACTTTTCTTAATTTGTTTACAGCAAAACCACAGGAAGTAGAAGTGGTGTTGGAACACGATTCTGAGTCCGATTCCCAGCAAGCACCGTCGCAGGAGGCCAAAGAGACTCAATCAGGGCTGGATCTGGAGGAGGTGATGCAGGAGTCTTCAGAAGACTGGCAGTGCCCCATCCCACAGTCTTTCCATAAATACCTGACAGCAGCACACATTCAGCTCGATTTGACTTCCATAACATTTGCTTAATTTTTATATTCGCAATGCCTATTACTATCTTTTTATTCTTGTCTGCAAGTGTGACTTACATTGCACAAATCACACATTTATTTATGTGAATATACATGATTTTGTATACTTCTTGTTACATTAGAAAACCAGTCAAGACAGAACTTACTTTTGTGTTTGAAAGATTTTTTTCATTACTTACATAATCATTTGGAGCGATATTTGTCACTACTAAAGTAGAGATTGTAACTGTGTACTGGAATGGACATTCTGTAGTTTTCAGTTGTATCCTTACCCGTGGTAAAAGTAAAACTATTTAGCACAGACAACACTGTCTGACATTGTCAGTATGTTAAAATACTGCATAATTACATGTAATATACTAGAGCTGTAGAACTGTTTATTTGATTTAATCCTTGATATATCACTTAAATCAGTTTTATAGGAATAATCCGATTTGGGCAAACATTTTTGTAATATGCAAAAATATTTAAGAATAAATGTAGTTTTTTTATGTTTATCCTTTCTCACTTTCATTCACTTATTATTTTTGTTTTTCTGCAGCTTTATTGCAGGCTTTTAATATCTTTATATTAATAAATAGGTTTTACATATTGGTTTATTTATGGATTAAGTGGGACAGCATGGAGTAGTTTAGAATTTAAATGAAATCTGAAACACTGAATACATATTTTGGTATTTGTTGATTTTATATGTGCACTTATAGTAGCTCTGAGGCTTCTTTCACACTTCTTTATAGGAAATCTATATATTCTGGATGAATTGTTATAGCTTTCATTCCTGATTGAAAGCTCCTTACACAGAGACATCCATGTTTAACTTCTTTAAATGCTTTTCTTCCTTTATTTCCCCCCTAAAAGCGTGGAGTGAATATGCATGACTATTCAGTCTCGCATGAACCTAAATGGATTCAAAATTGAATGTCCTGTTGATCAGTGAGTGATGACTATTTTTTCGATTACTGCATCAATACTTCTGCAGTGGTTATCAAGCAGTTATTGAGTGATGGTACAAAAAGAAGGCAACTACTGTAGACACCCTGTAAAACATATACAAAAAGAAAACATGTTCGCTACTGTTGAATTGTAGCATAATCAGTTTAAAGGGGTCATATGATGTTGCTAAAAAGAACATTATTTTGTGTATTTGGTGTAATGCAATGTGTTTATGCGGTTTAAGGTTCAAAAAACACATTATTTTCCACATAATGTACATTATTGTTGCTCCTCTATGCCTTGCCTTTCTGAAACGTGTCGATTTTTACAAAGCTCATCGGTCTGAAAAGCGAGGTGTGCTCTGATTGGCCAGCTATCCAGTGTGTTGTGATTGGCCGAATACCTCAAACGTGTGATGGAAATGTTATGACCCTTACCATTCTGTGATGCCCTGTCAGGCCGGAGCGACGAGACAAAAACATTAAAACTCATCATAAACTAGGCATTTGTTACATCCAGTGGGGACATAATTACTGATTATAATGACTTATACTGTCTTTTTACGTGTTGCGTTGCATCGCATCACATAAACATAAAACCATGTCTGCATTTGTGATCGGAGAAATGACAAACAACAAGCGCTACTCTACACTGCCCAAAACTTGCGTTTGAATCATCAGTGGCAAATCCTTTAAATATGAAAACGTACTTACAGGCTGTGAGTCAGAAGCGCCAGACTGTCCTTACAAAGTTGGAATTGCCCCACTTTATAGAAACAGACACCGGCATTGTAGGCTACTCTCACAGGAAACCGTTCTCGTCCTCTGTAAAATGCGCTTCACACATCTGAATATTTGGGTTGAACTGTTCCGGAACAGTGTTGTAAATACAACTTAACCACTGATTTCTAGTCGTGTCCTCTTTTGGAAGACCAAACAAAGTAGTTTCGCTTTCACAACGAAACACACAGCGTCTCCACAACATGGTGGCGGCAGCAACAGCGAGAAGTTACGCCTTCTTTCTTTGCGTGAACATTTGGCGTTATGTTATGCAAATCTTCCCACATCATGACATAGACATGTGGGGGCGTGTTAGAACGAGCCGTTTTAGGTAGGCGTGGTTGACTCTTAACTTTTATAAAGAATATCTCTTTGGATTTCAGACTTTAGTCTTTGCAACTTTACAGATCTTCTTTATGCACCAAGAGCTTGTAACACTCCAAAGAGAAAGGAAAAATTTAAATTGCATCATATGACCTCTTTAAATTATTAAATAATTGGATTATTACTTTATATTGGTAGCATCAAATAGCAAGTCCAAAGTACGAGGTACAAAGTGCCATATGACTTTAACATGGCAACTGTGTAAAAATCGAACTAAAATTAATTTATACTGAACTAAAACAACAAACCCAGCATCCTCATTTAAAGTGCCCCTATGGGTAATAAAAGGTTCATATCTTGGTTTTGGGAGTCCCCAACAACAGGTTGGCATGCATTCAAGGTCAAAAAACATTTTCATTTCTTATGACAGTTTCCTTGTCTTATAACAGGGCTGTCCAAACTCGGTCCTGGAGGGCCGGTGTCCTGCAGAGTTTAGCTCCAACTTGCCTCAACACACCTGACTGGAAGTTTCTATCCCCTTGTCCAAATACCCACACTTGCGGTCTTGGCCACTTGAGAGCGTGTGCGCGCGACAGGAAGTAAGTGCGCAAGACTGTCCCAGGTCTTAAAAATACCAAAGCGCAGTGCCCTTAACGCACACTAAACCCACACTATCTCGAATACCGCTCGAGGGTTAGTGTATCCCATCATGCATCATGTTCTGGAAATAAATCATGAGACTTTTTGCCAAGATCGCGCGAAAGGTCACGGAAACCTTTCCAATGTAAGTTACATATTAACAATAATAAGATATTACATATATAATGTGGTGGTAAAACAAAGTGCTACACATTTTATTGCTGCAAAGATTAGTATATTTATTTTTGTACAACATTTGCAACTGCTTTTTATCACTTAATTAAATTGTGTCATCTTTAGGGACTACTGAATAGACATTTAGACGTTGATTTTAAAATGCAAAGTATTGAAAATAATAATAAAACTCTGTAAACACTTTGCGTTTTTACAACACTATAAGTGTGTCCCATCAGGTAATGAAAAGTTGTACACACACTTGTGGTCTTCATGCTCACTTGAACACTTGGGCCAAATACAGGAAATACCTAATATAAGTGTTCAAGTGGTCAAGTGCAAAGACCGCAAGTGTGGGTATTTGGACAAGGCATATGCCTAGTAAGAGCTTGATTAGCTGGTTCAGGTGTGTTTAATTAGGGTTGGAGCTAAACTCCGCAGGACACCGGCCCTCCAGGACCGAGTTTGGACAGCCCTGTCTTATAATATGTATTTCTTTTTACCTTACTTGCTCAACGACTCCCAAACGATTCGCTCAACGATTAATTTTTCCAAACCAAACAGCGTTACTGGGGAAACCGCTATTTTACCGCTCCAAAAGCGGCTCCTAGTGGCAAAGAATGAATCTGCATTTTCATTCAGACCAACAAGTGGGCGGGCCATATGCTAATATTTCAATGATTCAGAGTCAACTCTTTCTTTTCAGGGACAATAACTTTATACACGGTGCACTTTCAGATTTAAAACTTTGCAGGATGTTTTCATTCACTTAGAGCTGTATTACACACTGCATGAAAAGTAATTTTCAAAAATCCATAATAGGGGCACTTTAAAAAGTCCACTACATGCTATGAGTGGATTCTTACATTTCATTTTGTAACATTTGCTAAACTGATTCTAAATAGCTAAAATGCTAAATAGCCATAAAAAGAACCACAAAAAAGTTTCACACTTTTAATTGTTTTTAATCGCCATTAATTAGGTGTAACAAACACAGAAGACATCAAATATTATTTCGTTTAAATAAGAACCCTTTTTCCAGTTGTTTTTGTATGAATAGAAAATGAAGTATCAAACTATGATGAGCAAAGGGCACAGAATCAGTCATATTCAAACTATGTGCAGTAATCTATGGTTATCAAATTCATTAGAAATCTCCGGAACCAAACACACATTTAAAAAACAGTTTGTGGTTGGAAGTAAAATATACATTGTGGATGTCAGAACATAAGTTATGCATTTTGGCATGAAGACAACCTCCATGCAGACCCCATCACACTGTACAGAGAAGACTGTTCATCAACATGTAAAAGGTGTAGAAAACACATTTGAGGTCTAGTACACTATGCTAAGAGAGGTACTGGCTACACTTAAGCTGTGTAAAGGTGAGTATTGACACTACAGAGACAAGACAAAACCATTTCAAAGATCAAAGATTATACACAACTATGTCAATACAAGTTTGACAAGACTGAACAGGAATAATTCAGAAGACACAGATTGTGTTGTAACGTATCAATGCAAAAGCTTTTCAAGTCAATGTTACTGTATTAGAAAACAAAATGTAAAAAATAATTTTTTTTGCATTCGTTTTCCATCCTTTTCCTCTTTATTTTTAAATGGGAAAAGGTAATGAGGTTTCAACGCTTGGTAGTTGAAGCAGGCTGGCTTCCTCCCTGAAAAAGAGACAATAAACACAAACTTAAATTGACTAATGATGTTACATGTTCATTACTGATGAAAAAAAATAATAATCTTGTTACCAATTTAAAGATCCGGGTTAAGGTGTCTCCACGTCCCTTTTGGCCTTTGGTGGAGCTCTGTGATTTCTGGTCTCGCTGTTAATAAACCAGATAGTTTTGTTGTGGATACTGGGGTTTTTCATATCTCCAGAATTTGGAGAAAATCATTTTGCCAGTATAGAAGAAGTGAGTTATAGAGTTATTGAGTGAGTTATAAAACAAAACAACAGCTCCTGACATAAAGCAAATTAATGATAATGTAAAATTACAGATGAATTCAAAGTAACAAAGCTACTGATTACTAATAAAATGCTCAAATATATAGCCTACACTCTTAAAAATAAAGGTGCTTCACGATGCCACAGAAGAACCTTTTTGTCTAAATGGTTACATAAAGAACCTTTAACATCTGAAGAACCTTTCTGTTTCACAAAAGGTTCTTTGTGGTGAAAGAAGGTTCTTCAGATTACAAAAAGGTAAGAAAGAGATGGTTCTTTAAAGAACCTTTGACTGAATGGCTCTTTGTGGACCCAAAATTGGTTCTTCTATGGCATCGCTTGAGTGTACTATGTATGGGACTGGGGTAGTGGAAATTTGCTGTTTCCATGATAATGAAGTAAAATAAAAATGTGAATTCAAATCAAATCAAATATATATATATATACAGTATATATATATATA